TGGTATTCCGTCCCCCACCTGTGCACCGGGATGATGACGGCGGAGTCAGCCGCCGTGGGTTTGTCGTTGACCATCACTGCGGTGACGGCGGCCGTGGTCTTCACCACCACRGCRTTTTCRAAMGTTTGGCTTCCCACCATCTCRGCTTGGGGTGGGATCTTCACCAGCACDGGTTGGTTGGCAGCTGCCTGCACGGTCATCCGTAATCCAGGTCTTTTCATGGAGATGGTGGCGGTGGTGGACGGGGATGAGCCCGTGAGGAGGAGGAGGCGGAAATCACTGCGGAGGGTGCGTTGGTCACCGTTCTGCAGGAAGGCCACCAGGAACTCGTCACCCAGGTGAGATGGGGACGTCTCAGAGGTGATGTTGGGGGTGTGGAGGAGAGCTGGGGGAGGAAGAAGAGGGGTGGGTAATGAGAGAGATAATTGATCTGATGGATTATTGATTTGATGAACCATTGATTTGAGGGACCTTTAATTTAATGGAGATTTGATTGGTTTGATGGTTTATTGGTTTGATGGACAATTGATTTCATGGATCACTGGTTGATGGATTATTCATTTGGTGGACTACTGGTTTGATAACTTGATCAGTTTGGTGGATTACTGATTCAATGGATTATTAATTTGATGCGTTAATGATTAGATAAATTATTGTCTTGATGGGCTTTCAATCTGGTGGACCTTTGATTTAATTCCCAAGACCATTGATTTGATGGATGTTTGATTTCATTATTGATTCAATAGATTACTGAGCTAATGGATTTTTGATTCAATGGATTAATAAATTGATGGACTTTTTATTGGGCAGACTACTGATTTGATGGAGTGCTAATTCCCTGGGTCAGGATTTTGATTTGATAGTTTATTGATTCATGACTATGGATTTGATGGGATATTATTTTAGAGAAAAAATCTGAATTAACATTGATCTGATGGATTATTTATTTATTGGATTATGGATTTGATGGACTTGATTGATTTTATGGACTATTAATTTATTAAATCACTGATTTGATGGAGTGTTAATTTGATCAGTCATTTGATTAATTTTTCATGCACTCATTTTCCAGCTGGGGAAGTAAACTCCATTGTTCTGAACAAATATTTAATGGATTAATCTGTTGTATCATCATTCATAGGAACAAACCATTTGAACAATTGTGAATTTGATGAAATCCCAATTAATTCCTTGGGCAAAAGTTGGAGCTTTGGCACTAGGCAATCGTTTTGGGCTGGAAAACCCTTATTTTGAGTAAATTAATGATTTCAGGGGAATTTTTCAGCTTTTGGGACATTTCCCCACCCCGTTTGACTTACCCCAGAACAAAACAATCCAGAACCATCTCAGCACATCTGCTTTGCCCAGGCTGCTGTCCATGATGCTCTGGGTGCAAAAGGTAAGAAAACAGTGAGATTCTCACATTTTTGTTAATTTGGATTTTCCCAAAATTCACCATTTCTTGACATAAAACTCACACAAATCCCCAAAATCTGTGGGTTTCATTCTTGTGCTCATTCCAAAAATTCATGTTTTATTGAATTTGTTCCCAAAATAGTTTCTTCTCACTCATGCTACCCTCAAATTCACTATTTTCATTCCATTTATTCAAAAATCTGAATTTTAGTGGACCTCACCCCAAAATTAGCTTGGGGGGTGGGTATTTCCACATGCCTTCCCCCACCATCCAAAGTACCTTTGCATCTCCTTTCCTTTTTCCTCTTCCCTCCCCCCCTTTTCTCCCTTTTCCTCTTCTTATTTTTTTGTAATTTGTTTTTTCCTTATTTCTCCCATTCTCTTCTTTCCTTCGCTTCATTTTTCCCTTTTCTCCTCTTTTCCCTAAAACCCAGATCCTCTTTGGCTTTTCCATTTCTTCATCTTTCTTCCCTTTCCTATGCCTTTTCCCCATTTCTACTCCTCTCCTCCACTTTTTTCCTTTTCTTCCACTTTTTTAATTTCCTTACCCTTTTTTTCTTTCCTCCTCCTTTCCCCCTTTTTTTTCCCCCTCCACTTTTTGTATTTTTCTTTTTTCCTTTCTCACTGGTTCCCTTTTCTTCCTCCTTTTTCCTTTGTTTTTCTCTCCTTTTCCCCCCTTTTCCCCCTCATTTTCCCTACTTTCCTCCCTTCTTTCTCTAGTTTTCCTTTCCTCCCCCTTTTATTCCCTGTTTTTTCCCTTTCCCCCTTCCCCTGTTTTTCCTCTTTCCTCTTTTCTTTCCCTGATTTCCCTTTCCTCTTTTTTCCCCCCTTTCTTCTCCCTTCTTCCTTTCCTTCCTTTCCCTGCTTCTTGGCTCCCTTCCATCCCTCTATCCTGCCCTTTTGTCCCCCAAATCCCTTCACAAACCTTCCAATCCCACTTCTCCCAAAACGAGACACAGGGCAGAGGGGGAGGGAGGGGGGAGCTCGAGGAGTTTTCAGGTAGATTTTCCCACTTTGGGTTCTCTCCTGCCAAAAAAAAATGTCATTTATTAGATGTGCTTTGTCCCTTACCTGCCTTTGGCCCCGTTTGATCCCCAGCTTAGCTCCGTATCCCCAAAGAGCTCCGTTTTATCCCCAAATCTGTGAAGAAAAACACAATCCCAGGACAGCACATCTGGCTCCTCCCTCGATTATTTTTTAATTCTGGCAGAAAAAAAAGGGAAAGAAAATGACTAATCCAGACAATCCCAAGGGACCACCCCACCCAATGACGTGAG